ACCATTAGTAACACACTACACCTTCAGGAGGCAGGGAATAATGTAACAAAGACTACCATCATTAACACACTACACCTTCAGGAGGCAGGGACTAATGTAACAAAGACTACAATCAGTAACACACTACACCTTCAAGAGGCTGAGACTAATGTAACAAAGACTACCATCAGTAACACACTACACCTTCAGGAGGCTGAGACTAACGTAACAAAGACTACCATCAGTAACACACTTACACCTTCAGGAGGCTGAGACTAATGTAACAAAGACTACCATCAGTAACACACTACACCTTCAGGAGGCTGAGACTAATGTAACAAAGACTACCATCAGTAACACACTACACCTTCAGGAGGCTGAGACTAATGTAACAAAGACTACCATTAGTAACACACTAGGGACTCAGATCCTGCAGAAACACCTTTAATCTGTGTTCTGACACCTTCTCTCAAATAACTTGTTTTCCCTGACAGATTTTGATGATTCTGATAATGTTTTTGTTCATTTGTTGACAGTTCATCATGTCACTGTAAATCAGTCTAAAACTTACTCTGACATTTTCTGGAATTTAAACCAATCTTACCCTAAACCCAGGAAGTGTCCTGATGCATCTCAGTAATCCAGGTAAAAAATCAAAAGGACAAATAATTGTGTAGGTCGTCTGGACGGGTTCTTCTTTAATGAAACGTTTCGTCTCTCTTCCAAGAGACTTCTTCAGTCTGAGAGTTTGAGGCAAAAAAACCCAGGAACCTTTGTCTTCTGTCCGTCTTTATATTAAATATTCAAACGACAGGTTGAATTGTTGTATTTTAGGATTTCTTTGTTTAAGTGAAGCTCTTTGTTCACTCCCTGGGCTCACAAAAGGCAAGTATTAAATTGTTTTCTGTCATCATATTTTGTATTGTGTTCCTAAAAACAATAGTTTTCCTTTTAGATTCAAAGTTTTGATTAAATTACCTTTATAACACAATTTGCATAAAAATCAAAGTCTTCATTACCACAGGCAGAGGGTTTGCAAATATTCCCACACACACACTGGGGTCGAAAGGCCACACACACACACACACACACACACACACACACACACACACACACACACACACACACACACACACACACACACACACACACACACACACACACACACACTTTGGTCAGCCCTCAGTTTGCATACAGACAGGCCACTTCCATAATGACAAATTGACATAAAGCCACATCCTGCAGCTCTTTCCTTCTCTCATTTCTTCTCTCCTCTTCATCTCTTTTCGTTTGTTTTCTCCATCACAACCACACCTGACAGACACCCCACCCCCACCCCCCAATCTCTGCTCTGATTGGCTGTCAGCAGCCATCAGTCGAACCATCATCCAGGAGAGGATGGCTCTGGTTTGGGGTTGTGGGCTCAGAGGCTGTGAGCGGCACTTTTAGGTTTTGGGGTTTATTTGGGTTTCAGCCTCTTTAACCGCCACCAGCATCTATCCACAGCACACAAGGTGAGTACACACACACACACACACATTTATATATACACACATGGGTATTACAACACACAGCAGGCATACTAACAGTTTTTATAGAACCTGTTAAAATAATCAGAAACAGTCATGTAGCTGAACTTGGTTCATTTATGAGGTGAAATATTTAGAGCTGTATAAACAGCACAATATTTTATATTTTATTTAGAGCTTTGTTGTAATACTGGATCAATTGTTTGTTTTCTGTACCAGAAACTGAATAAAACTTTAAATTTCTTTCTTTTGTAAAATAATATTTAAATATGAGAATGAAAATCTCAGAGTCCTGCTCCATTTTCTGCTCATTTGACTCTAATTTTTAAGTAGCTGAAACTCTGATTGTTCACATTTGTTTCTGTAAAACATGTTCAGTTTGTGCAGTTCTTTGATTTAAATATTAAAATATTAACACCTCATTAAAATAACCACACAAGTCTTTTTTCCCACTTTTTTTCAGGATAAGCAAAAAAAAACTCAACCAAAAATGTACCTTCTGACATGTTTTGAAGTAGTTATTTTTATGTCTCACTGATGAAATGTCCTCCTCAGCTCTTTAAACATTTACTGCTGTTTAATCCCTGAAAACAACCAACCAATGTTGGACGACACATCCTTTCAATGAGCGAAGCAGAAAAAGCAGCGTGAACACGACCTGCTGAGGGATTTGCTGAAATCTACATGAATTCAAACAGAATTGTTCAAACAAGGAAAATAAAAAAAATGAAAATGAACAAAAGTTAGTTAAAAGGCTAAGTTTAGCAAAACGGTAGATAAAATCTTAAATCAGCAGAACTGCAGCTAAAAGTCTTGAATTAGCAGAAGAGAAGCTAAAACTAAAGCAGGTTTTGATGAGGATTTGTTTAATAAATAGTGGTCAGATCAGCTGTCAGACTTCAGATCTGACACAGACTGATGGAAATGATTGACAGCTGCTGTTTCTCTTCCTGAACAGGTCCTCATGGCTTCAAACAGTCTGTTCAGCAGCACCAGCTCCATGCTCTACTGGGGTGAGGTGTTTTCAGTCTGCGTGTGTCTACTTTTGTGAGATCGGATTTTCACACCTTTGGACATTTTGCATGGTCCTCACAAGGGGGCACTCATTTGTGGGTCAAGGGTTCAGTTCAGGGTTAGGCTATAGAAACGACCAGTAAATTAATGAAATGCAAAGTCCTCACAAGGACTGCAAGACAAACGTGTGTGTGTGTGTGTGTGTGTGTGTGGGGG